CACACACACACACACCAGTGTTATATAAAGCACCACAAAGTGATACTTTGGTAAAAGTTAAAATCTCCTTTAGGAATATTACTTAAGTAAAAGTCTTAAAGTATCTGATATTTTTTGTACTTAAGTATTAAAAGTAAAAGTATTGATTTAAAATGAGCAGTTAGATTTTCTATAATGACATGTATTAGAATGTGACCTCTGCCCCAAATATGCAGAAATGACAGTCATATTAAAATAATTAATTAATGTAAAATTTAGGATGCACTAGTCTAGCTGTTTCAGTTTATAGACATATATCAAGGCTGCACAAACATTTTCCCCAAAAAGAAAATCTGAGGGCTAAATTAAATAATTCATAAAATACAAATACTTCTTAAGTACAGCACTTTTATTTTTAATGATTAAGCTAGCAGCCAGTGCAGTGGCCCACATTGACTAACTGCAGTACAGCCCCTCACATAGGCACTGAGCCAATGAATGGGATGACTTTAGGTGGAAATACTGTGTTTCTACATAGGACCACAGATTACAACCAACTGCTGGTGGGCCAACATATGTCTGCTATGTCCTGCTGGAGTGTGACATGATTTGTTTGTGTACAAACTAATACGATATCAGAATTTTTTTTATATTTCTACTTCTCATTCAACCACAATTAAATTACCTCTATCTAGAACCCACAATTTATATGGATAGTATTTATTTTACAATAACACGCTGGAATGAAAATAAGTAAAATGAAATAAAAATAACGACTTTCTACTTCTTGCCGCATGCACCTAACGTCAGGCGCACACGTTCAGTTTCACCACAAGGTAATCTCAGTGGGTACATTGCAGTCATCAGATATGGAAAAGCTACAAATAAAGTCTAAAATGAAAAATAAAATAAAGCAAACTGCAGTCATGAATAAGGTGGTTTTTTATTTATTTTTTTAATATATTTTACAGTTCATCAGCAGCCGCTTGGGAGCTTGACTCATCATCAAGCAACAATTAAATAATGAAGTTTTCACCTGTGATTGTTTTGTTATTTAAATCCTTTATTAGGAAGGATGATCAAATGAAAAAAAACTAAACGCATGTAAATAATATCCACACTGGAGTTTGGAACAGCGGGTCAGAAACTTTCGCTGGAACGCAGTCTTTTTACGCACGCAAGAGATGGTGAGTAAAGCAAACTGTTAGGTAATTTAGTTAACAACAAACTTTATTTTGAGGGGGGAAACAAGGAAAATTACACATTTCCTCGTCTGGCAGCATTTTATCCAAAGCGACCTGAATCTCTCAGCGCAAACTCCAGCTGCGTTTGGAGAGCAACAATAATGACAAACTCCACACAATTACAGTGGTTTGCAATAGTATTCATACCCCTTGAACTTTTCCATATTTTGTCACATTACAAC